GTGGCTTCGCGCCAGAGTCCAGCTCGCAGTCGGTGCCAGGCAGCGACAGCCGTAGGTACCGACGCCTACGGAACGGCGGGCGCTCCTTCTCCTCCTTCGCCCGTTCCTTCTCTCACGCCTGCATCCTTCTGCCTCCTTCTTAAATGGCTCCTCCACGTAGCACGTCGCACCGCCAGGCGTGTCGGTTGGGGCAGTCCTGGCGTTTCGCGTGACACATTTTGTCGGCATATGGCCCTGAAGTATTTTCAGGATTTTGATCTTTCCGGCAGTTACATGGTGGAGCGCGGATGTATTTCAACATGCGGCTCTTTTCTCAGTGCCGCGCGCCTCCGTCACTTACACGTATTGCGGGGTGTGGATTGTGACCAACTCGAGCATTTATGGACCACACTTGGTTTTCAACAAGCGGCTCTCGCCTCACGGATGGACGGCGCTTCCTTTTCGAACTGTGGCTCTCGCTGCTTCGCTTTCTAGCACGCATGTGCGCTCCCACATCTTGCCTGAAGCAGCTGCACTGATGGAAGGCGGCTCCTTTCCAGGACGTTTGCTTGCTGGTCATGTAGTGAAAACGTTCGACCGTGTATGGCGGAAGGCAGCACCTTTCAAGAGGGGGCATCTTGCCTGAGTGGCAGGCCCAGGGGGCGCTTGTCTTGGAGCGGGTCGCTCTGCGTGCGGAGAGAATATGCCAATGGGACCGCGAGAGGTCACTTGCGACGTCAGGGCGTACTGCAGCATCGTTCATGCATCTTGGTTTTACCCTCCTCCTCCTCCTCCTCCTCCTCCTTCTCCTCCTCCTCCTCCTCCTCCTCCTCCGTCCTCCTCACCCTCCTCCCTATCCTCCCCCCACCTCCCTTCTCCATCCACCTCCCTCCATCTCTCTCCGTCGTCATCTCCCTTCCTCCTCCCGCCCCCTTCCTTTTCAGGACACGCTGGCAGGACTCGAGTTCAGCTTCTTGGAGAACTCTGGGTGGCCGGTCGCAGGGCTCTGCGGAAGGCGTCTGGCGTGGCGTCGGCAAGGGACCCCCCCGCTTCAGAGACCGAGGAGGAGGAGGAGGAGGAGGAGGAGGAGGAGGAGAAGGAGGAGGAGGAGGAGGAGGAGGAGGAACAGGAGCAGAGCAGGAGGGAGGATGATTGTTAATACGGAATTGTTTCACATGGCGTCTCCATATGTGCATGTTATATCAAATCGCTTCGCTCATTCCGGCAGCCCATTTCGCATCACTGTGGCTGTGGTGTGGTGTGCTCGTGCCCATGGGGAACGGTAGGGCAGGCAGGACGGTCTTCGAGCAGATCTTTGGACATCTGACTCGCATCCAGTCGAAGAGAGCCTACAGACTGCCCGAGAAGGCGCCAGGATGGTGCTTTCTATATATGCATGTTTTGTTTTACCGCTTTCCTTGATGGGCGTTTGAGTGTGAGCGAAGCTGAACGCGAGCGAAACCGGACGTATGTGGGCCTGGGAGAGCGGGTCAGAGAGCGCGCATGTGTCCGATTCTGAATGGCCACTTATGCGTGGTTCTAGGCACGAGCCAGTGTGAGTATGCGTGGGTCTGCTTTCGACGGGTCCGTACGTATCCCAGTGGGTCTGTCCGTGAGGGAGTTCGAGTTAGATGTGGGGAGGATGCGCAGCTCATGAAGGGAGAGGGGTGACGAGGTGACGCAAGGAACGAGGGATGGATTCAAGAATGGGGAGGAGGCGGCACTGAGCGCGGGCCAGCGCAGCCGACGGGGCATGCCCTGATCCCCAGAACCTCGTTTTGGCCACGGTTTTTGGCAGAGAGGAGTGCTGGAAGAGACAACGCTCTCACACCATCGGCGGCGAGCGAGAAGGGGAAATGAGAAGGAGAATGCCTTCACAGAAGACGGCGGGGCTTCTCAGAAGGCCTCCGGCCTTCTGAGAGGTTTTTTGTGTCTTCGGGGAAGGCTTAGGAAGCTTCTCAGAAGTCCGGGGGACTTCCAAGGATTCTGAGAAGGCCCGCCCCCTCTCACTTCCCCCCGGGCTCGCCGCCGACACCAGGCCGCCTGCGACGGCGGGAGAAGCCCCTCGTCGCGCCGCCGCCCAGGGACTCACGACCGCGCGACAGGCGCGGCGCGGGAGAGGCCACTGTCGCGCCACCGCAGCCCTGACTGCCGTGCGGAGGGGGCGGGCTGCAGAAGCATCATGTCTCGACAGTCCGCGCGGATTCCTTGGATCTGCGCTGGACCTCCCTCCCTGGCGCGCGGAGGGCGCCATGGGCGGCGCCAGAGGCGCCGAAAGGAGGGGCCAGCGCCGATGCAAGAAATCTGCGTGGACCCTCGAAAGTTTCTGTTCATGCAGTTTTCCCTGGGTCTGTTCGACCAGATTCTCTTGAGGCAGTGCAGTGTGGGGGTGCCTTGCCACCATGCGTGCGTCCTCTGCTCTCGCCCGCCCGCGCTTGTCGAAGCGGCGCACGGACGCCCCGTACCCCGCCGCGGGCGGCCCTCCCCGCCCCCCCCCCCTTCCAGGAGCCTTGTGGGGGGGAAAGCCGCACCAGCAACATGTTCGCACAGGTTCAGGCACATCTCGACAGCGTCACATCAGGACCGCGCCTTTGCTGCCTGTCTTGCCGTCTCAGCTGAATACTGTTGCCTGACCCCAAGCTGCTTTTCTCTGTACTTGCCGACTTGGTGCCCGCGCAAGACATTCAGTTGTTAGAATTTCTCTGCCAGCTACAGCGCCGTTTATGCTGTCAGGCTATCTGCTTCATCAGCGACGCGATCCACAACAAATATGTTCGTGTAGGTGCATCTAGAAATGGCAAGCATGGGCCAAGGCGCGTGGATCAGCGACGAGTCCCGCTTCCATGTAACATCGACGCTCTCCGCTGCCAGATCAGGCGGCACTGGCTGCATGTTTAGGGATGTGCTTTCCCGGATCCGTAGATTTGGCGCTCGCGCCAGATCCACGTATCCCTGATCCATGCTAGTGGGTGCCCGAGCTCAGCCACCACGCATCGTCGTCAGGGCCGCGCTGTCCCGGCGGCTCTTGGCGCGCGCAGGCCATCGTCATCGCCACTGCTGCACGAATCGATTGCCCCTGCGGTGTGAAGCGTTCTGGGGCTTCCCAGGGCCTCGTTTGGTTGCCTGGGGCGTCCAGGGGCCTCCAGGACAGTCTTGGGGCCTCCATGGTCCTTGAGCCTGCTGGGGCCTGGCCTCTTCAGGCTTCACAGGGCCTCCCAGGGCTTCCAGGGGAACCTCCTGTGGTCACTTGGGGCGAGGAGGAGGAGGAAGAGGAAGAGGAGGAGGAGGAGGAGGAGGAGGAGGAGGAGGAGGAGGAGGAGGAGGAAGAGGAAGAGGGAGGATGGAGAGGATGATGAGGAGGAGAATGCGGGGGAGGAGGAGGAGGAGGAGGAGGAGGAGGAGGAGGAGGAGCAAGATGATGATGAGGAGGAGGAGGAGGATGTGGGAGGGTGAAGGAGTTTGATCTCGACCACGTGCACCTGCACACCCACACCCACACGCACGCACGTACAAACTCAAACACATAAAAACACAAACAACCGCGAGCGTGCGCGTGCGCACTCGCGCATGCGCATATACACAAACACGCCCACGTACGCACGCGCGCACGGACGCGCACGCATGCACGCGCGTACGCACTCACGCACGCCGCGCGCACACTTTCTCCTCTGCAGCGTTGTGCTACGTTGTGCCAGCGGCTGGTTGTAAACTAACGTGGCGCGTCAGCATATTGTGCAAACGTACATGTGACGATCGCGCTCAAACCACTTATCGCGCTCACACACACAAACACGCACACGCACACACACACACACTCACACGCACACGCATACGCACACGCACACGCAGACGCACACGCACACGCAGACGCACACGCACACGCTTCGAAATCGGCGGCGCAGTTGAGCCTCAGGCGCGGTCGGCAGGTGGAGGTGCCAATGGCGAACGAACTTAGTCGAACGTGCCATGATAAAGGAGTCCAGTCACGGCCATGCAGACTTGTGGTGGAGAACACGGGAGGCACTGTAAATCCAGAGTGCAGTGGCCAGAAAACCTGCGGAACGAAAGCTCGACGCGGGAAGTTTGAGGCGCAAACAGCAGTGGGGTGCAAATAACAACCTCAAGGAGGACACGAACCAGAACTGTAAGGCTGCCAGACCAGGCAACTCATGGCGGTGCATACACGCAGGGAAACCGCGCGAAAGGTAATGCCACTGACATTGCAAGGGCAACCACACAAGGCGACCGTGCATCAATACGCAAGAGGTCGGCGTGACAAAGATGATCCCGCGGCCAAGACTGGCCTATCCTTGGAAAACAAAAGCAGAGCTGAACGCGGGCGACCGTGGGCAGCGACCGCGAAACGCGGCGGCGCACATGCACACGCACACGCACATGCACACGCACACGCACACGCACACGCACTTGCACACGCACGCACACGCACACGCACACGCACTTGCACACGCACGCACGCACACACACGCGCACGCGCACACGCACACGCACACGCACACGCACACGCACACGCACACGCACACGCACACGCACACGCACACGCACGTGCACACACACAAACATACACACGCACACGCACACACACAAACACACACGCACACGCACACTCACACGCACATGCACACGCACTCGCACACGCACACGCACACACCACACACACACACCACAATCATTCACACTCACGCATCTGCACACATACGTACGACACACATTTACCTTGGACAGTGCACTTTTCGCCAACAGACGCAGACTGTACCGAGTGAGAAGCAGGGGGTGTTGTTTATCGATGATTCGCGTCCTCTCCTCTGCCCTCCTTCCTCCCTCCACAGGAGTGGCGCGGAAAACATACACGTAAGACACATGCACATCACAACACACACAGACACACACAGACACAAACACACACACACAAACACACACAAGCACACAGACACACGCACACACGCACAGCACAGGTCAGCCCTAGGACGTCGGACGAGTGCGCGCCCACCTCCGGGGACGGTCATCGTAGGTCCCACGCCTGGGCGCGAACTGGCCCGTGTTTCGCCTCCTGGTGCCCCCCCCCCCTCCTGGGAGGCCCAAATCCGATGCCTGCTACATCACGGTGATCCTGCATTTCTGGAAAAAAAAAGATGCGTCTACTTCCGACAGCGGCCGTTCTATTTGAGAGGTCCCGGCAATCTGTGCGCGAACGGGCCGATGTCAGGCCGCCTGGCGGCCCCACCCCCCTTCCGCCCGGGCCCGGGAGGCCCAAGTGCGATGCCTGCGGCACTGCAGTGGTCATGGGGTTCTGAAAAGAGACGCGTTCACTTCCGAAACAGGTCGTTTGGTTTGAGACGTTCTGGCAATCTGGACGCGAACGAACGGGATGGGCTGAGCGTGAGCGGGCCTGGAGGGCATATGAGTGCGAGTGCTCCCGACTGCGAGTAGAAGTGGGAGAGCCTGGATGCCTCTTGCAATGAGTGCGTCTAAGTATCAATAAGTTGTTGTTGGACCTGACTCCTGGTGCGAGTGAGCCTAAGTATGCACAGTATACCTAAATGCGGGAGGAAGAGGACACGGCGGAAAGGAAGGAAGCGGAGGCATCACACGCTACCATAACTCAATATTCAGGATGTTGGAAATAAGGGTCGGTCTGGGTCAGCATCCCCATGCCCATATCCAGAATCACAGACAGCACGGTGAGGCCCACAAGCGAGAGACCGAGGAGGGCCGAAGTAACGACAACAAAGAAAAACACGGAGGGGGCCGAACGAGGGAGCCGAACGAGGGGGTCGAAAGAGAATTCCGAATGAGATGGACCGACGGAGGTGCAGCTGGTAGAGAGAAGGAATTGGGGGAGGCCGCGGCGGCGCTCGTGTCAGGCTCGGCACTGGCAGACTTGTGCTCAACCTGAGTGCCCAGATTCGCCGAGCAACGATCGGGTGTGTGGCGGCGGCGTTGGACTCCTCGACGACGAAAACGCCAGCATCAACGGCGGCGGCGACGATAACGACGCGAGCGGTTGCTATCCCGCAGCCTTTGAAAAAAAGAGCCAGGTCCGCGTGGAGGACATTATTGTCAATATCGAGGCTCAGGAGAGCGTTTTGTAGGACGCCGCCCCTCCGAATGCAGGAGAGCCTTTGGGCGTTGACATGCCTCCCGCAGCATTCGTCGTCCAATTTTCAGGGCGTACGCCCCCAGAGAAGAAGCAACTCGCTGAGTGCTGAGGTCTGGCTCTTGTGCTTCGCGCCAAGATCGGCGGCGAGCCCGTAGGGAAATGAGAAGGGGCGGGCCTTCTCAAAAGGCTCGGAAGTCCCCCGTCCTTCTGAGACGTTTTTTAAGCCTTCCCCGCAGACACAGGCAACTTCTCAGAAGGCGCGAGGACTTCCGAGAAATTCCGCCGCCTTCTGAGAGGGCATTATATTTATCGTTTCCCCCTCCTCGCTCGCCGTCGAACCAAGAGGATCTGGCGTGGACTAGCTCGCCGCCTCTCTCCTCTCCTGACCTGCCTCCCCTCGCCAGACACGGAGGAGGAGGAGGAGGAGGAGGAGGAGGAGGAGGAGGAGGAGGAGAAGAGGATGAGGAGAAGGAGGAGGGAGGAGGAGGAGGAGGAGGGAGGGGGGGGGGGAGAGAACAAAACAGGAGGAGGAAGGAGAATGAGGAGAAGGAGAAGGAGGAGAAGGAGGAGGATGATGAGGAGGAGGAGGAGGGGGAGGATCAGGAGGAGGATGAGGAGGAGGAGACCCCCTCCCTGGGGTCAGACCCATTTTTGATTGTCCCAGGGCCCGATCACGGGCCGCGGAGGCCGAAGCCGAGGGAGAGCGCCAGGATTGTGAACTTCGATCGCCTGCGGTCCAGGTGAGGCCTGCCCGCCGTCCGAGCCCCCCTTGGCGCAGCTCTTCGTGGCTGGCGATCTCCGTCCTCCGTCCGTGTGGCTGATTCGCCCTGGCCCACCACGCGCAGACGTCAGCCGTAAGAGCATCTCCTCCTCCTCCTCCTCCTCCTCCTCCTCCTCCCTCTCGCTTTCTTCTTCCTCCTCCTCCTCCTCCTCCTCCTTCTCCACCCTCCTGGCCTGCGCTGCCGCCACGGGCGCGGTGGCCTGAGGGTCGGCGGCGCAGCTCGAGCCTGGCGGGCTGCGCGGGACCGCCGATCGCCAGGTACAGCCCGGGGCTGGCGACGTCGTCGGGGACTTCGGCCAGGTCGGGCGGCCGCCTACGGCTGGGGCGCCTTTGGGAGCCGACGCCCCTCTCTGCGATTCAGGGGCCTCGAGCAGTCGGGGACCCCCTGTACAGCAGGAGGTCGGCGTGGCGAAGGCAGCCCCAGCACATCAACTTCTTCCGCCAGCAGTAGGTGGCAGCGGCGAGGCCAGCAGCCTTGTCGCAGGGGACTCTCTTGGGGAAGAGAGTCGAGTTGCCCCTGATTTTTCTAGTCTGCTGTTCGGTAACATCACATGCTTAGGTCCTCAGGCTTGGAACTATATCACCAGGCCCCAGGTCAGAAGGAGATACAATTTTTTTGCCTTTGCTGAGTGTCATGAGCCAGCGTCCAGGCAGGATCACTGGACTGGAGCAGCTAAGCGTGCACATTTGCGTCCTTTTTTTAACCCCGCTCGGCCAAGAGCGGAGTCTTTGAGTGCTCGTTCCAACGAAGGGGGAGAGATGATTCTCGCCGAAGGTCATTTGCAGGCGCACCGCACGAGTGATCCTAGCGATTTCCCAGCTCTGGCTGCTGCCTCAGGGGATGCCTTCGACGGGTTTTTGCCTGTCACTCTCCATTTTAGGGGGTACTCGATGGTACTGATAGTTTTCTACGGACTGGGCAAAGAGGGTTTTGCAGGAGATAGCGCGCAACGTTTGGTTAGGCTGGGCACGTACGTCTCTCTCCTGCAACTCCCATGGGTTATAGTCGGCGATTTCAATCTGCCACCAGCCGACTTAGCCCAGAGTGGCTTCATAGATCGTGTGCAGGGCTTCCTCCGGCAGGCTGACGTGCAGCACACCTGCGTCACAGGAACGGGGCAGTCTCATATTGATTATGTCATAGCTAGTAGGGCAGCGTGTCCGTACATCGGTCAAGTTTCTGGGGTGCTCGACGTGCCGTGGGGCACACATATCGGCATCAGCATCACAATTCGCAATGAGGGACAGCAGCTTATAACCAGAGCCCTTAAGGTAGCCTCCGTTTTGCCTCAGGTCCCAAGGCCCTCCGCGCAGCCTAAATCTAATAGCAAGTCGCAGCGGGCGAAGCTTGAGCGGCGTGAAGCGCGCGAGGCCTTCTCGTCTAAGTTTCAGGCTGCGTGTGAGGAATTCTTTGGGGACGTTGTAGGGCATCAGGCCAAGCAGAATATTGAGTCTAATGTAGGTAGTGACGGTGAATCTACTCAGGAGCCTCACACAGAGCACGAGGATCCTTTCGCTTTCGGAGAGCCCGAAGATTTCCCAGAAGAGGAGGATCCTTGGGCCGACGAATCAAGTTTTGTCCCTAGGGCCAGTCATGTGAGTGTCTCTGCGGAAAAGGACCCCGATGTGCCATATGTTAGCTCTGAAACCCCTGGGGCCGCCGATGACTTTAAGCAGTCTTCCCCCTCCCTCTGCCCCTATGCCATTCCAGCCGAAGTGTGGGAGCAGCATCGGGCACAAGTGGGACCTCTGGAGCAGTCTCATGAAGACGTTTGGCCAGCTATAGCATCATCTTTGGCCTACCGTATGGGAGGGGACGACGTTATCCCTGTTAGCAACATGTTCGGGGCATGGGTGCAAGCGGCGGAGAATGCTATCCTGTCTCAGCACGGCAAAAAGCAGGTCGGTCGGTCACGTGCGCAGGGGCCAGTGTTAGTTGTCGAAGCAGTTCAGAGGCCAGAACATGTTAGGTCGCAACCTCTCGCCGACTCTCTGGCTAGCTGGTGGGCACGAGCCCATGTGGTGCTGCTTCGGCTCCATCGGCATAGGGTACGTGATAACGGTAGTCAGCAGGTTGCTCAGCTTTGTGCAGTGGGGAAAGTTCTGTTGGAGGATCTCCCTGAAGGCGTTCACGTGGTTCTTCCGACTGGCAGGGGAGCTTTCAGTTGGGACCAGTGGGTCGTTTTTCTTGGGGGCCTGGACGGTTTAGACCTTGGGACTTTGGAAGCCTTGAAGTTCCTTTCGGAGAAGGCCTCAAAGAGGGCCCGTGGGCGTGCGGTGCACGCGTCCTTGAAAAGATTTCAGGAATGGATCATCGAGGAAAGCTCCCTAGGTGCTGTATTTAAGTCTCTGCGCAAGGCCCCACACGCTGCCGAGGAATTCGTTATCAAGGGGGAGAGGGTCTTTAATCCAAAGGACATCATCGATTCGAAGGTTGAACATTGGCAGCAGTTGTGGTCCGCTGATACTCTAGATGTGAACGATTTGGAGAATCTTTTTGGCACCATCAAGGCTGCTGCAGACTACGATCCACTTCCTCCTCTCACTGTCGACGACGTCAGGGGGGCCCTCAGGAAGATGAAGGGTAAGGCGGGGATGGGTATCGATCGTCTCTCTCCACTCGACGTCGAGAGGTTGCCTGATGTTGCGATTGCCGAGCTGTGTTCTTTGTACGCCGCCATAGAAGAGCGCAAGACATGGCCATGGCAGACTATGTTAGTGGTGGGGAGGTTGTTGGCGAAGAAGTCAGGAGGGGATAGGGTGATAGGGCTCATCGCGATGTTTTGCCGTATCTGGAGTCTTGCCAGAGAACCGTGTGCTCGCGAATGGTCTGAGTCGCTGGTGTCGTCCTGGGATGCTGCCATTGTCGGGAATAGTGCTTTCAGGGAAGCTTATCTCAGGGTGTTGAATTCCGAGGTTGCTGTGCAGTTGGGAGCCACGGTGGGGCAGACCATCCTAGACATCAAGAGTTTCTATGATCATATCCAGTGGCCGCGTCTCATTTCGGCAGCATTGCGATTCGGGTATCCGCCTGTGCTGTTATGCCTGGAGCTGCAGACCTGCTTGGCGCCTAGGTTGGTCTCGCAGCTTGGAGCGTACTCGAGGGCCTTTCAGCCCACTCGGAGCGTGGTGCAGGGCCTCAGGAACGGGACCAGGTTCGCTCGGTGTGTCACCTTTTTCGTCATGCGCAAGATGAGTATAGCACATGTGGGTATGAGCCAGCGTCTTTGGATTGATGACCTCGACGGTTCGATCGTAGGTTCTGAGAGGGCTGTAAGTTCGGAACTTCAATCGTGCGTTCGAGATGCTCACGACTTCTTTAGGGCAGAGCAGCTCACGCTAGCAGACAAGAGTGTGGTTTTGTGCTCCAGTCATCGCGTTGCTCGCCAGGTCTCTGCTCGCTTGAGAAAGATGGACATCTCGATTAAACCGGTTCTTCAGGCTGCTTATCTGGGGGTCGACCAAGGAGTTGGGAAGCGTCCAGCACGGGCTACTCGGAGGCAGCGTGTTATCAAAGGCAACGCTCAGAACGCCAAACTCAGGAGGTTTGCTTGGGCTTCGAAACGGTACCAGGTGACCAAGAAGGTGGAGTTGGGAGGGCCGCAGGCGGCCTCTACTTATGGGATGCAGATCTACGGCGTTTTCGGAACTCAGCTCTTGGGACTTCGGAGGCGTCTGGGAGCGGTCTCGGGGGCGGCCAAAAAGGGGCGCTGCTTAACCACCTTGTTGGACATAAGGACCCCAGGCTTTGACCCAGGGATTCGTCTCCCAGTCTCCTGCATTCGTGAATGGCTTCGCATTTGGATAACGGAGCCGCAAGTGCGAGCTGGCATTCGTCGCGCCTGGCCGCAAGTTTTGTCCAAGTTTCAGAGCCTCGGTCCCACTGAATATGCTAGGCATATACGTGGACCCCTATCTGCTACCATTGCTCATTTGTTGCAGGTAGGATGGGTCCCCCGCGCGCCTGACGTCTGGGAGGTTCCTAGTACGGGGGATGGTACGGTGCGGGAATGGCAGTTCAGTGAGGATAAGTTGGTTGGGATGGATCAGGCTGGCGATCTGCTTGCCGAGTTTGAGCGTGATCAGTCTGCCCACCTATGGCGCCAGGCTGCTTCTCACTTTTGCGGCGCAGGCCTCGAAGGTGGAGCCAACAACGATTCTCTGCGTAGGCTCGTGCATGAGTTGCAACAGGTGCGCAGAGGGCGCCAACTGTCCGAAGTTTTGCTCAACATCGCTGTAGGGGGTTCATGGCCGCAATCTCGGCGTAAGGATGAGGGTTTGATTACCGATGATTTATGCCCGAGGTGTAAGTTGGTACGGGAGGACCCCCTACATCGAGCTTGGCTTTGCGAGTGCAACACGGGGCATAGTATTTACGAAGCCTCGGATAAGTTATGCGCTCAAGCAGTCGCTCAGAGCGAAATGTTCGCCTGTTTTTGGCTGAGGGGGGTGATTCCTGCGAGCTGGCTGCAGGTTGACCCACCCCCCGATGAAGTGAGATGGAAGGTTTATGGTATCAACGATTCCACTTTGAATCCAGGGTGTCTTGGTGTCGGGCAGGACGACGACCCTGTGCTTGTCTTCGGGGATGCGTCGGGGGGCCCAGATACCAAGAATCCCTTGTTTAGACGTGTTGGTTTAGCTGTGGCTACTATGTCGAGTTTTTCACCGCCTGTTATTGGTTCAGCTATTTCAGGGCCTTTGGTGGGCCCTCGTCAAACTGTTCCACGGGGAGAACTGGCCGCTCTTGAACTTGCCATCAGGTACACCTGTGGGCCTGTTGTCTACGTTGCTGACAATGAGGAGGTGGTTAACGGGTGGTGGGCTCGGAAGTTCAGGAACCCCTCGGGTGAGATGGCATCCGCCTGGAGATCCATTGGGGCCTTATTAGATGAGCAGAAGCGTCCTCATCATGAGATTGTTGTTCTGTGGATGCCGTCACATTTGGACCTCGCCGAAGCCAAAAGAAGAGGCATTCCCCAGCACTTCTTGATCGGGAATACTGTAGTGGATGAGCTTGCAGGTGCGAGCGCTCTGGAGGCCCGCTTGTCAGAGAGTGTACGTGCGAGGATCTTGGAGGTAGAGAGTACAGCCAGTCTTGTACGGAAGCGGCTAATGAGGGCCACACTGGACGTTATGGCAGTGACGAACAGAAAGCCCGAGGGATTGCTTCCATCCAATGCTGATGCTGCTGCCTCTTCCCCCCCTCCTCCTGTCTCTCCCTCTCGCCCTTTGCCGCCGCCGTCGCCCGCCGCCGTCGCCCTTTTCGGGTCGTCCCATCGTGTCGACCCCGAGGGTAGGAGGTGTATCAACTGCTTCTCGGCGGCGAGCCGAGGGACACGGACGGCATGGCTCAGAACGCCGTGCTGTCCGCCTCAGGCCGTGGGCGGGGGGCTCTTCAAGGCGGCCCCAGGGTCAGGGGCTGTGCACATCGGGGGGTCTTTCGCTCATCCTTCTCACCGTATGTATTTCCATGCTGCCAGTAGTTATTGGTTTTGCAGAGTCTGCTCACGACACGGCACCGATCAGATTCGGGACCTTGGTAGGGAATGCTCTTCAGCCAATTTGACGCCCAAGAGGCGGGAGATATTAGATCGTCTCTCCAGGGGCCTAAAGCCCAGG